CCCCCGCTCTCCTCCTCCCCGGGCCGGAGGTGTCGAGGACGGGCCTCCCCTCAGCGCGGGCGGGCGCTGCCACCTAGCGAGGAGCGGGGAGCGCCGGGCGGCGGAGGGCCCCGGCGGGCAGCGGGGGCGGGGCCGGGCCCCACGCGGCGCCACCGCCTCCCTCTCGCCCTCCTCGCCAACATGGCCGCGGCCGTGAAGGTAAGCGCGGCTCCGCGCCGCCGCGGGTTGGGAAGGAAGCGGCGGTGGCCTCCCGCCTCCCCGGCGGTGCCAGGCGGGAGAAGGGGCGGCACGGCGGGCGGCGCCGGGCCGAGTGTGTGTGTCCCCCCCCGCCCCCCTCGCCAGGCCGCCGCCTTGCCCGCTCGGGGCCTTTCCAGTGGCTCTCCCGCGGCCCGCCCGGAAGAGACGAATTTCAAATCTTTTTCCAAAAAATGGAAGCGGTGGGAGCCGTCAGTGAGAGGCGCCGGGGTGGGTGCGTGTCTGTGGCGGGGCGCACAGGCCCCGCGGCCGCCGCTGGGGTCCGGCGGAGGCCTGGCTGCCCCGTCTGCCTAACCTGCCAGTGGCCGGGCGCGGTGCCGGGCTGCCCGCTGCGGGTGAGCAGGCCGCTGGGGCCGAAACTCTGGTCTGACCGAACTCCGAATTCGTTCCCTGAGGCGAAGCGCCTTTACCTCCTTGTTTTGGGGTGTAGAAATCAGTTACAAGCTGTCTTTATTTTGCAGAGATAGGTTTATTCCCTTAACTGTGAATTTTATGTAGCTTACACTTTATCTCCTTGTGAGTCAAAGTCTCTTTAATGCCATCCTCTTCACATTATCCCCAAAATAGAAGCGAGGAAATACAGATGTATTTGTTGGTTTTTAGCTTGCACAAAGACCCGTAGCTGATCGTGACACCGCTTAACATGTATGAGTGTTGAAGGCCCTCAGGTGGACAAGCGTAGACTGTTGCTGCACTGATGCTTTCTGTGTCTTGTGCCAAACAGCAGGTGCAGAAAGGCATACGCTGAAGTGTGGTCGTCGTGTGGACTCCCACAGAGAAATGCTGTTGACTTTGTAGTTACTGATGTGATCACTTTTCGTTAGCTTTTGCTTTTGTTGCTTTTCATACCAGTGTTTGAGATAGACTCTACCATAGTAAAATGCTTCATGTTTCAATCCACCACAATGACATCGTAATTTATATTTAATTCCAGATAACCTTAGCTACAGCTCCAGTAATTTTCACAGGTTATGTCCTTCATGTCCCTTTGTAGGATGCAAAATTTGGAATGGAGCATACAGTCTTGCATCTCTCCATTCTTGAGGTCACTCCTAGATGCGACTGTCTCTGCCTTTTGAGGAAGGGTGAGACTTGCCTCCCTGAGTCAATGCCTCTCTGCCATCCCTTGCCTTCAGTGCCCAGGCTGCTTGCCACAATGCTTGTGGAAATAGACCTCGGCTCGCTTGGCAAGGAATCTCCTCCCCACTGAGCCTAGAGCAGCTGCATTCCTTTCCCGTAATTCACTAGAAGGTCTAGTAAAGGAGAACTTTAAATAGGACCTGATTTTTGGGTCTCCAGCCCTGGGACATGGCTGATATTCCTGGAGATTATGTAAAGTGGAGGAAAAATTACTCCCTTGCAGGGAGGTCAAATTATTTTTAGGGTTGGAGCTGCCATCTCCAAGTTGGCATTACATGGTTGGAGAAGCCACTGCTTCAAGAAATCTCTGCTGGCCGAACTTTCCTTCCACTTTAGAGGCTCTCCTGTGAATTACAGTGGGCCCAGCATTTCTCAAGACAGTGTTGCTCAAGGTGGCTTGAAGGTTGACCAAGCTGCTGCTGAGGTGTGTTGCAGGGAGGAAGAAGGCAAAAGCAAATTCAAGGAAGTCTAGCTCTTCCATGCTACGGGTTCTTCACCCAGGGTGCTGTGAACGTTTTGCCAGCTGGTTGCACTGCTGCCGTTTCTGACAGCGTGGCCGTCGGTGTAAAAGCCTGCTCGGGGGCTGAGCTGTGCAGCACCACCATGTGCTGATGCCACTGCAGCAGCAGAAGTTGGGAGCCCAAGAGCTAACCTGAAAGCAAGGTCCCCAGGCATACCCTGCCCTGAGCTCACCAAGCTGTGTGCTGCCACAGGTCGGGTGTGCTGGTACAGGTATGGTCTGCTGCAGTTCTGGATCTGTGTGTTCATAAGGACCTTAAAGCATTGCAGTTCCAAAATAACTTTTGTGTCAGGTAGCTGTTATCTCCAGCATTGCACCATTTTCCTCAGTCCCAGTGGTGGTCTTTTCACTTTGTCAGACGTAGAAATTGAGGCAGATAAGCACTCCCTTTTGAATATTCTCAATCATAGGTCATAGGGCAGTAATAAAAAAAAACTTTATACCAAACTAAAACTAGTTAAGTTACTGAAGTAACCATTTTTTCCCTAGATTAAAAAAAAAGCACCATTTTGATCCTGGCTTCTGTTAATGTAGTAATCTTCCATGTTTACTGAATACTTGCATTAAAACGTTAAAGGTGGTCTTTTGTTGATTTTGAGTTTTGCAGTTGCTCCTGTTGTGTACTTCTTACATGTTTCTTAAGGCAAAAAAATCATTCATCTGAAAATTTATGTAGTTTTCAGGATTTTCATGGACTATCTAACAATCTGAACGTTTGTGATAAATGAGCACCATGAGTAACATAGGAACAGACCCATCAATACTACTGCAAACAATGATCTAGGTCTTCCCTCGAGTATAATCGGGGTTGGAGTTTGTGGATTTTTACTGGCATTTTCCTTTGCACTCCACAAGGGGGTAGTAACAGGAGAAATAGGAGAGCTGTTAAAACTACTTCAGCGTATCAGCATTTACACCATCAGGTGTGGAATGCTTTCTCAAAGAGGTATTTGATGTGTCAGGAAGACCAAAGAGCCTCAGCTTGTTGAAGCGAAATGCTTGATGAGCCAGCTATAATATGGTGGTTGAAAAAATGAGGTCTCTATGAACATGAAAGCTAAGAGAAAGCTAGAATGAGAGACAGGTGGATGTTGTGGAAGGGGGGTGTTGTACATTGAAGTCTGGAGGTTTTACTTGAGAAATGTTCTGTCTTTACTGCATAGTTCCACCATTTTTTATCATTTCTGGTAAGTCGTGCCAGAATGGCTCTATTTTTTTTTTCCATGATAAGCAACTCGGCCATGATATGAATTCTTCAACTTAAAAGTGAGAGAAACTTTATGACATCTGGTCGCATTGGAGGGGGAAAAAAAAAGTAGCATCTTCTCAGTGTGTGATAAATGGTGACTTTATTTTTAAATACCATTACTAAGCTTGAGGTTGTGAAGGGCCTGACAGTACCCATTCCATTCAAAGAGCTAGAAGTATTCTGAGGTCAAGAGAAAACTTGACTTGGTTGAAAATAGAATTGTCCCTAGAAAGACAAAACCAAGATACTTTCCAATGAAAAGCTAGAAACGAGCATTCAGATGCATTTTCTTTAGCTGGAGTTTGAAATCACAGGTGAGTTAAGTCTCAGAGAGACCATGTGTTTCAGAGTACCTCTTTCTTTCTTTCCCCTTTTTTAAAAAGAACTAGAACAGATGAACAATGAGCCAGAACACAAAATTGGTGATTACTAAAGCATGATAGATGGGTGGCAGTCACTTTATGCTTCTTCACTACGAGTTATATCAAACACAACATAGGACTTTTAGCCTGATTTCTTAAGGAAATAAAATGTATTTTATTCAAGTGGCCCTTTGCTTTGCCCTCTGTTTTCCCTTTCCATTATGTTTTGAAATTTTGTAAAAATTTGGGGGAAAAAGACTTGAAAAGATTTCATTAAAAAAGCAAAAGTCTGTTAAGTTTATACTTAGGGAAAGACTGTGAGTTGAATAAAACCTGACACCAGTGGGTCTACGCAGAAGACAGTTAGTGACCCAGCTGCAGGCAACATTTGAATGGGCATTTATACCTTCTTAGGTATCAGCAGTGCTCACAGCAGGTGAAATTGTCAGCAGATTATTTTTCTTTCTCTTGTGAAGAGAATAGCTTCAGAGGAGAGAGAGCTGTTGTGCTATCCCCCTTTTCAGAAGCTGTACAGAGACTACTTGCAGAAACAGCAAAGTACTTAGATGTTGACAAGTCAACACAAAAAACTTCTAATTTTTTGAAAAAAGGTTATAATTATTTTGTATGTATAATACTATATAGTAATGTCTGGTATTCAGTATGGCAGTCTTGTTCATGTGAACAAGAAGCCTTTGCTATAATATGCTTTATATAGGTATTTCTCACTCATTCGAGGCATTCCCAAGTAACACCCTTCATTTTTGTATCAGGAATAAAAGCTAAATTGCCACTCTGTGTGCATTTTCCATAGCTTTTTAATTTGGTATCTTTAAAGAGGAGAATGATAGTGTAAGAAATTGGTAAGTTAAATACACTTGTTGAAAATCAGTCATTTGAAATTTCCTTTCTGGGAAACTCTGCTGGGCATATTACGTCTTCTTGGTGTAGTTTACCCCCATCTCAAGCAGAAAATACATTTTGTAGCTGCCTGGTTAGTTTTTCAGACATGCTGTTAAACGGAGTGTGATCTCAAGAAGACTAATATGTACTTTTCCTGTCTAAGATTGGTATTATTGGTGGAACTGGCCTGGATGATCCAGATATCTTGGAAGGAAGAACAGAAAAATATGTTGATACTCCTTATGGCAAGGTCTGTATAACCTTTTTTTAATTTATTACTGAGACTTCTTGTTGATTTTAAATATGTTTGTATGCTTTAAGAATTTTTAGACTGTTCCAAGACTGCATAAAGGAGGTGCTGTCGCAAGACTGTTTTGTTTTAGTTCCTATGTATTGTGTGATTCTTAGTCTGTAGAAACAAGGTGTTACAAAAATGATGTGCAAAGGAGACACTACCTCTTCTCATTTGTAGATTGGATGAATTTACAAACTCAGTCCTGAATTTGCAGTCAAGAGGAATAAACTCTCTCTGTCAAATTTGTGCAGTTGTGTAACCTGTAGCAGATGTCAGATTGCTCCAGGAACCTTTCTGAATTACAGAAAACTGTCTGTTGAGGTATATGGCCACCGTTTTTCCTGTAACTGCTGAATTATGTTTTACTTACCAGTGCTGTCATAACAGTCATGCTTATAACCACATAATTTGAAACTGGTCTGAAAACAAAGTTCTGAAAATGTTTTGGGGCACAGGTGTTCTTGACCAAGACTCCTTCAGACTGCTTCAGCCCTTTTCCTCAGCGAAAGCAAGCGGAGGTTAGGAGTGTTGCTGTGTACACCGTGCCAAGTGTGTTGTGAGGGACAGTTCCTGCCCCAAAGCATTTATAGTAGGAACAGGCAAGACAAATTACGAGATAATTTAATAGGCAGGAGGTCAAGGAGAAGGCTTCTAGTGTAATAAGGCCAGGGGAGTCTAAGTGCTTTATAATTGCCATTGGAATTATACCCAATGAAATCTACCACTGTAAGCTAGTGTACATACAATAAAACATCTGGCGTGCGGCAGTAAGAGGCATTTTATGGGTAGAAGCTTGCCAGAAAGCTCAGCGCTGTAGCATGTGTTCGAAAATCTGAATCCATGCTTCCATGCAAAATGGTTTAAGAGGAAAGTAGAAGTGTAAAGAGCAAGTGGAGTTTGTGTGCGCACCATTTAAGAAGGAGAAGGAGATAAAGATTAAGGGAGGAGAAAACATAACCAGAAAAATATATTTGACTTTTCCACACACTTCAAAATCTATTAACAAACTGCAGGAGAATGAAGGGAACTTGCCTCCTCCATTTTCTGTACCCTGCTCTCCAAATGGTAGCCAGTGCTGGTCTGTAGTAGAATCCACTGGCTAAACCAAACCAGTAGGTGGCCTACAGCAGGGTTTAGTGTTACTCTGAAAAATAGGAGTACCTGCAGCATGGCTTCTGCACAGGGGAGTTGAAAAATCTTCCTCTAGCTTTGGTCGTTATGGAAGGCTTTTTAAATTTCATTTAGGAAGCAGCTTAGCTATTGTCTTTTTTTCTGTGTTCTTCACAAAATGCAACATGAATAGGGGAAAATAAATCTTGGGTGCCTGTTGTGGTTTGTGAGAAATTTTGATCAATGGACTGGCTGTGTCTGAGCTTGTGTATTACATATTTAGCATAGGCTCAACTTTAAGAAAAAAGCTTGTGAACATTCTGCCTTTGTGTATGGGGTGGAGGTATAACTGAAATGTCATGGTAGGAGCCCAAGTGTGGATTCCAGGTACTGTGGTGAGCTGAACTGGGGCTGTTGAGCTCACCTGGATGGAAAACGGCAACTTTGTGGGACTTCTGTATCTGTGAAAGGGAGCACAACCCTACACCTAGCACTTTTGTCCTTACCCCTGCTGGCCTGCCTTTCTTCTCTCTGCTACAGTTCTGAACTCCTGAGAACTCAAGCCATTGGTCTGATGGTTGTTTCATGTAGATTCACTCCTGCATAGAATTACATTAACTTCAATGTTTGAATGCAGTTTTCATCCTCATGGAGCAACTGGTGGATCAGCCTTAGTGGTGAGATGTGCAGGGCTTAGACCACAAGTTGAAGTGGCATCAAGAACATCAAGTGTGTCAAGTTGATGAACTTCAATTGAAGTAGAAAAAAACCTCACAAATTTAGTTGGTGTCATTACGTGGATCAATGTTTGCTTACTTTGCTGCTGAGACTTTAGCATTCAGGAAGCAGGTGTTTCACAGCCTGCCTCTCTCATTTCAGAACAACAGAGATGAGAGAAGCAGCTATTGCTGAATGCAAAAGGGCAAATGAGAACTTTTTTTTAAGTGTGCTTGGAAAAGTTTAGAAGTTTGTGGTTTATGTTAGTATATTTTCCTAAAGGTGTGTCTTGTTCTTGATTGTTACTGAAATAAAACCAAATTGGGATTTTTCTGCCATAATGATGCTTCAGTGAATCTACCTGAAATTTTAAGAGCAAAAGAGCTTAATCTAAATGAACTGTTCAGACCTGTGTGGTCTGCAAATTAGAGATGAGATTAGATTAGAGAGAATTAGAGATGCAACATTAAGCCTATTTAGTTCAAGCAAAACTGGGAATAATGAAAAAGAATGTCTGAATGCCAAAAGGAAAATGGAAGGCATAGTTTAAAAATGTATGTCAATTTTGTTCTATCCTGAAAAAATGCAAAGTATACAATTCTACTTTCCTTACATACTGGGTTTAAATTCTTAAGTTTCTTGGCAAGAACATAGCCAGAAGACTTTTTGTCTAAAACCTTTCTGGTGGTGACACCCCTTGGCACCTTTGACATTCGGCAACAGCAAAATAGACATTTCTTTAATACTGTTTCTTTGCTTTAGAAGCAAAATAATTGCTTACATTTTGTTTGTATAGAGTCCTTGAGTTGTCTTCTGCTTTGGCCTTCTTGAATCATAAGAATCATTTATTAACAAAACTTACATCATTAGGAATATCATGTGGGGATATTTTTTTCACATGAAATATGGAAAAGTTTAAAGGAAACTTGTATGAAACTCTGCTGGCATTGGTCTTCCCATGAACTTTCAAGTTACATTAGTATTGTTAGTGAAAATGCAGTACATTAGTGTTTTGTGGGTCTTTTTAAAATAAATATGCTTACAGCTGTTAATATTCCAGCCTGCTTTTCTCCCTTGTCCGTTTCCACCATTTTCATTGCATAAAAAATTTGGTTTTCTATGGAAAATACCCTTAAAACCTTTTGGCATACCACCTCCAGATATGGAAAATATTGTTTTCTTAGAGGATAAGAAGATAGGTTGCAACAGCATTTGTCTTCATCATTGAACTTTGAAACTATTAATAAAATTTTGTTCAGTTAGATTGTTTTACTTTCTGGATAACAAAACTTGGTTCAGAGTAATTTTTCCCCAAATCAGCAAAATATCTTCCTATTCTAGAAAATCATTTTAGGTGCTCCCCTCTTTTTTTGGTGATAGGTATATCTGGCAAAAAAAGCAGGGAGGGGGTTCCACCTTGCAAATGAGCATTTCGTTGCTTGCGTCAGGAAAATCAGACCATGTGACATAACACTTAAGCTCCTCATCTGCCTCCCCGAAGCAATTTCCATCATTTGGTTCCTAAACTAGATGACAGGTTAAATGAAGGCTTGGGGAACCTATGAGATACTTCTCTATCTCAAGTTTTCCCTATGTTTTTGGTTTGCTTGTTAATTCTGCTTTCTGTTGCAGCTTTTTTATGAGGTGAGACTTGCAAAATTAATTTTTTCATGGTCTCACATTACCAATACTTTGTGCTGATTTATGTCATTTATGTTGCAGACAAAGGGGATTATTTCAGTTATTTGTTTGTGTCATATTGTAGGGTTAACTGCTTGGGGTTCTTTGCTTCCTTTTCTGTTTTGCAACACTCGGTAATATATATCTGACTTGGATTTTGTGGAAGGGGGAAGTAGTTAAATACGTATATGATTTATTAAGGTTTGAGAACTTTTTGTTTGGCCTTTTATTGTGCTTTAAAAATACTGTATCAGAGCTTTAAATCCAGATTGTGTCATTTTATTGTTCTATCAGTGTTTCAAAGCCCCTGACTACAACTGAGGTAATAGTAGAGAGGTACTGGCAAGAGCTTGAGGGAGAAAGAGAGCAGAACAGAAGCACACACTATCTCTGTTACATGGTTAACACATAGTTTGAAATTTCTGTGTCTTTCACTTCCCTGTAGCTTTACACACACTGATTTATCCTTAATTGCTCTCTTTTAATGACCCATGATGCAGTATTTGCAAATTCTTTTCTTAAGCTGTCAGTTCATCATTTAGGAGTCCATTCTTTGTTCCAAATCTTTCTTTTTCTCTGCCATGTTTATAGCAGTCATGTGCAAGGAAGGTGTACAGGCAGTCACCTGGAAGGTGTCCTGAGTGCGTTCTGTGGAAATCTATCTAAAGATGGCAGCTATTACACGGCCTGTTACACGGCCACCCTGAAGCCTTTGAACTTTCTAGGGTGGCAGCAGATAGGGAGAAAACTTGGCTGCTGCAACTAGATTTTGAAGCCTGTTAGATTTCAAAGCGGTTGCATTCTTCCTGCATCAGCAGCGTATGCCAGAATTCAGTGGAGTTCTGTGGTGAGGGAGGATATCAAACAGCAGTTAGATTGCACCTTTCTGTCCCAAATCTTTTGAAAATTGATATAAATTTGCATCTATTGCTTGCAATAAACTTGAATCTGTCACTTGTAAAGCAAAGGGCCCAGTCTTTAACTTAGAGGTCTTTACTTTTCTTTTTGATAAGAGAAAAGGAATTTTGGCTGAAGTGCTCCGTAATTTTTAAAAGTATTTTGGTGTCCTGCTGTGAGCTAAGTTGCATGCTCATTACTTCACACAGCAAATGTGTGTTTTCTGAACAAAACCCAAAAAGCAAAACCCCAAATGCTAATTATGGAATGTTGCAATATCAAAGTGCCTGGCAACTGGACAGCAAGACTTTTGCCCTGTGTGAAATTTCACTCTTAAAGCCATGTCTGGTTCAGAAGAGTATATGTAAAGTAAGGTAAACATTTAAATGTCAATAGGTTGATATTAAATGGAGACTTTAAAAAAAAAGGTCAGAATACACTACAATTCTAAAAATAAATTTTCTAGAACAGTCCCTAAAAAAAAAAAGAGGCAAATCTGTGTCTGGCAGGATTTAAACCTAGGTGATGGATTAAATTATAGTGCTTTGAAGAGATTATATGTTAAAAATGACAAAAAAGAGCTGTGCAATAGGGGGTAGAAAGTGGTGATTTTATTTGAAATCAGTGTCTCTAAAATGCAGTTGTGGGACTCGTATTACTTTATTCCAGATCTCTGAACTAACAGCTGTAAAACTAAATGCTAATTGAAATCTCATAGCTAGCATTGCAAACTTGTGATCAGTAAATAAATAGTAATTTTATTAATAGGTATTTCAGTATTAAATCCCAGGGCATGGAGGAGAGATTGGCAGAGTGGCTTCCAGCCAATTTACAGTTTCTTCTACACCACAATAAAAAGAGTGAAATGCATGCAGTTCTGAATTGGGCAGGAGAAGCAGCACATCCAACTTCACTGCTGTTCAGCACAAGTGCAGTTTAGCATCTAATTAAACAGAGGCCTGCTTCTGCTGCCAGTACCAGAAGTTCTCTGTCATGTCACGGTTCACTTCCCAAAAGCAGGACTGCCCGCAGCAGAAAGGTGGTGGGGGGAGTAAAGGGTGGGTTGGAGGTGGCTAGGACATGAGTGTGAGCTAGGGGGCCATGGGAGAAAGGGGACAGGGCGGTGAATGGCGGGCGTTACAGAAAGGGACAGATTAAATCTGATTTCTGTTGGGAGGAAACTTTCAGTAGGGCACCCGCATAGCAAAAAGGAACCAAAAAGGAGAGAGTGAGATCAGTTGGCCAATTTAAAGGCAACATGTATGTGCTTTTTTCATGTTTGTGCAGTGCTGTTTGAAATAATACCATTTCAAAGTATTTAAAGTATTCAAGGTATTACTGCTTCAATCCCTAAAGTAAGGAGTTGCAATATTGTCGTTAAGAACACAGAAAAATTGTGATAATCCACTTCCTGTTCCAGACTCTTTTACTAATCTGCCGTATCAAATTACAGAGCTGAGCCGAAGAAAATACAAGACTACAGTGGTAACCAGTATTTCTTTTCATAGCTATCCTGCTTATTTTAAGTAGCTGTTAAGGTTTATAATGTGATTGTCACTGTAACTTATTCTTATTTGCTTGTTTTGCAGCCATCAGATGCTTTGATATTGGGAAAGATAAAAAATGTGGATTGTGTGCTGTTGGCAAGGTAAATGAGTGTTTTAACCGGGTTTGTATTAGGTGTCTTGAAGTTTTCTCAAGAATTTTTTCTTTTCACATTAGGTTAACTGCATTTTTACTCTGACTTCATCGTGCTTTTTGTAGCTGCTAGCAAAGCAACAGAAGTCTGGGGTTTTTCCTGAACAAATTTGATGCTGCAGGGAGTCAAGGTATTAAAAATACTGTCTAGGTTAGGAAAGAGAAATCTCGGGGTGGGGGGTGCTGCTGCAGGAAGAACAGCAACCTGCAAGGCTGCCTGCACAGGTGGTAGGTGGATAGGGATGATAACCCCAGTAATCTGTCTGCTCCCTGTGTTTGCAAATTTCCTTAGTGATCCTTGTAAATTGCCTATTTACAGAGGAACTGTATCTCTGGAACCATTGTAGACTCTTCCAAATCATTCCCTTTGATTATTGAGTCCTCTGGCTCTTACTTTTATTGCTTAGGAGGCTACATCCCCTGTAGTTCTCCCTGCCTGGGTCATTTTTATTCAGACATCTCTTACCATACTCAGAAGAGACTCTAGGAGGTGTGGAAATTTCACACTAATGTAACTGTGGATGTCTAGGACCAGTGGGCTACTAGATTAAACATAAGAATACTAACACAGTTCTTAGCATCTGAACAGTATGGGCAGAGCCAGGTGCTGATAACAGGGTCCTTCAGCAGTCCCAGGCAAGTCAAGGTGATGAATCAAGTCCAAGATCCATCCAAGGAGTCCAGGCAGGAGCAGTAGGAGGTGGGACCAGAGAGGCTGCAGCGTGTGTCTGAAGTCCACCAGAAAACAGGTCTGGAGACAAACTGCAGCATAGGTCTGAAGGCTATCCAGGAGATGGGGCTGGGGACAGGCGCACCTGGCTCAGGCCAGGAGTGAAGGCTGGGGCCTGAGCTTGGAGCAGGAGCACCTCAGCTCATGGGCACCAAGCATTTGGGTGGAGGACCAGAGCAAGGTTGCCCAGGGCAATTACAATCCAGTGGTGTACTCAGGGCCCCAAATCTTTTCATGCCAGTATTTTTCTGTGAAGTTGCTGACAGTTAACCATCTCTGCAACTACGCTCCTGACTGTGGTTTTACTTGTCTTATCTTACATGGACTTTGCTCATGTATCTTACTACACCTGGACAACATTTTTCTAATTTTCTCAAATGAAATGCTAAGCCAAGATCTCACAGCAGTGCTGCGTCAGAGTAGGCCTTGGGCTACAGGTGGCTGAACAGCTCAGCTGTGGTTTACATCCTCACTGGGATTTATGGCCGTTCCCACATGACCCATGTGAGATTATTTTGGGGGCTAACTGCAACTTTATGTTTTGGGAAAAATGACAAACTTGCTCGTGAATGCCGGATTAAAAAAAAAAAAAAGAAGGCATCTGTGTTCTAGAAGAGGATTATGACAACAACTGCAGCATTAAACAATAGATCTACATGCCTAGTAGCTTATCAGAAATGCTAGTGACAACGTGGAAATCCTGCCTGACAGTCCTTGGTCACGTTTTGTTCAACTTCTAGTTCCCAAATGATCGAGTTCTGAAGACCTTTTGGTCTCTTTGAAATCGATTAGGAAATTAAGTTCCTTCTTTCCTCTACTATGTTGAAAATAATATTCAAATGTGTGCTGCCATACAGCAAGACCTGGGCACGCTGGAGAGTTGGGCAGAGAGGAACCTAATGAAATTCAACAAAGGCAAGTGTAGGGTGCTGCACCCAGGGAGGAATAACCTCATACACCAGTACAGGTTGGGGGCTGACCAGGTGGAGAGCAGCTCTGTGGAAAAAGGTCTGGGTGTCCTGGTGGACAGCAGGATGACCATGGGCCAGCAGTGTGCCCTTGTGGCCAAGAAGGCCAGTGGCACCCTGGGGTGCATCAGAAAGAGTGTGACCAGCAGGATGAGGGAGGTCATCCTGCCCCTCACCCCTTGGTGAAGCCGCATCTGGAGTACTGTGTCCGGTTCTGGGCTCCCCAGCTCAAGTAACTGGAAGTTTTTCCAGGGAACCGCTTGGAACTGGAACTGGAGAGGGTACAGCAAAGGGCTACAAAGATGATTAGGGGACTAGAATGTCTCTCCCATGAGGAAAGGCAGAGAGACTTTGGTATTTTTAGTCTGGAGAAGAGAAGACTGAGGGGGGAACTGATCAACGCCTATAAATACTTAAAGGGTGGGTGTCAAGAGGATGGGGGCCAGTCTTTTTTTCAGTGGTGCCCAGTGACAGGACAAGTAACAGGCACAAACTTGAACATAGGAAGTTCCATCTAAACATGAGGAGGAACTTCTTTGCTCTAATGGTGGCAGAGCACTGGAACAGGCTGCCCAAAAAAGTGGTAGCGTCTCTGTCTCTGGAGGCATTCAAAACCTGCCTGGACATGTTCCTGTGCAACCTGCTCCAGGTGGATCTGCTTTGGCAAGAGGGGTGGACTAGATGATCTCAAGAGATCCCTACCAACCCCGTGTCATTCTGTGATTCTGTTTAATCACTGTGTAAGTGATGTAGCTCTGTAGAGATGATGGAAATAACACAAAAGCTTGTGCTTCTAAGGCAAGTGTTTCCAGTCTGGGTGAAAAAGTATACTGCAACAGTGTGAAGTCATTCTTACAGTTTATGAAAGCTGTCAGATCATTTTAAGATCAAAGAGAAAAATGTGATGATTCTACTGTTTTCTTTGGGAAGGTGACAGATTACAACAGTGAGTTCTTTGTGTTTTTAATTTCCTGTGATGTGCCGCTCTTTTCTGGAAATACAAACAGTGCTTCTGAGCAGAAAATTTATAGAGGTTTATATAAATCTTATAAATTTGTTGTAGTGTATGGAAGATTTAATTTGCTTCAGCTGGGTTTTCAGACTCTATGGAACTGACTTTCAAAATTCAGAGAAAAAATGCTTTTTGTACTCTTGAAGCTGCCAAAGTATATTTGGATTGTATTTTCAAGATTCTTTTTGTTAATCTTGAACTTGAAAATTTTGCATTTAAAAAGAAAACTGCACTGCTACTACTTAAATCAAATGCTGAAAGAACCTTAATGCAGTTAGGAAAACAAGCTACACTGAAAGTGGCTGAAATATCAGTCCCACTTCCAATGTTGTTAGGGAAATTACATTTCCTGGAATTCTCTTCATCTGGGAGAAGGAAGGCAATTTCAGTCTGATTTATTTTGCTCTCATGCCGTGTGTATCTTTGCAGACATGGAAGACATCATACAATTATGCCATCGAACGTCAATTACCGTGCCAATATCTGGGCATTAAAAGAAGAAAATTGTTCACATGTATTAGTGACTACAGCCTGTGGTTCATTACGAGAAGAAATACAACCTGGTGATCTTGTCATAATTGACCAGTTCATTGACAGGTGAGTAACTTTTTTTTTTAATTATGTTCTTAGTTTTGGGGGAGAAAAAAAGGGGACAAGTGTGGTTAAATGATATAATAACAGGTTAAATTAAGTTCTTGTGGAATGAGGTGATAGCCTCGGTTCCTATGGCAAAAAGTAAGGTTCATACAAGAAGACAAGATAGGAAACAGGAATGAGATTACAAATTCAACTCTAGCAGACATAGAAGAAATACCAGGCTTTGACCTGTATCACTCTTTGGGAGGAGTCTTCTGAAGAGGAGAGATCTTCTATTCTCAGATGTGGGGGAAGGTAAGAGCACAGGCCTTTCTAAGAAGAATCCCAAAGGAGATGGAGAGGTGCAAGAAAGCATAGTAGGAGCCAGGTAGGGAAATATATGCATTAATAACAAGTCTCTACAGAAGAGAGATTGAATGGAACTCAGTGGGAAAAGAGAGGTTGTTTTGAAACAGGGATTGATGCTAACATTTTTTTATTTGCTAAGAATCACAAGGGGTTAATTTTTTTCCAAAGTTTGTGTACTCCAGTCAGTCCTCCCCTCCTTGATTATGCAATATTTAGAAAAATTAAAGCAAATGGGGGGGGGGGGGGGGGGGGCAGAGGAGGATGGAGGACAGAAGGCTGTATTTAAAGGTTGTCAACTACACCAAGTATTTAAAAAATACAGTGGCACATTTTAAGATCTATATTTATTATTAATATTTATCGATGTACTGTATTTGGAGGTCTTATTTGGGTATTCCACACAATTTTAAGTGTTTGGAACAGTTTATGCAGCTTCTTTGTGCTTGGGGGGGGCTGCTGGGAGTATTTCCATGCCAACTGAACACGTATACTTCTGTTTGTTCACTGCAGTTCAGTACTGTTTGAGTTTTGACTTACTGACAGTTTTTGTGTGTGTGACTGAACTGCTTTTTCTTGTAAGAGAGTATGTTTTAAGTACAGTGTATCTAAATGACTAAGTAACCTGCGGGAGCAAGCCCCATGTAAACTGCTTCCTGTTATACTGGAGTTGATTTATGGGTGGAGAGCAGCTGTATTGCTGACAATGTTGGGTTTTTTTGTTATTTTTTTCAAGTCTAAAAGTGTTTAGGCTGATCACTTTGTTTATATAGATTAAATCATAATCATCCTTATTCTGCCAGTGGTACTTGGAAATGAGTAATTTTAGTATTGATATTGATGCATCTAGGAAAGTTATGAAACATAATTGAGTACATGGTTTGGATGATTGCAAGTAAAGGACCAGTTATTTCGACAGCATTATTTTCTAGCAGACTCCTAGGTAGATGAGGGGAGCCTAACCATGCAAGGCTGTGAATTGCAAGCCTGGTGAGAAGTAGCCTCTGGCCCAGAAGAAACAATTGGAATTATTGCAGAGTTGTTATCTGCTACGGATGAGGGGTGGAAGTATGGAGAAACTAACTCTTGCAGAGGTCAGGCAGAAAGACATTAACAGAGCCAGGAAATAAACGAGATACAAAATCTGAGACCATCCTTCATCCAAAATGTCATTATCAAAATTAGCAATTTATTTTGAAGCTACCTAATCTCCTCATGCAGCTTTAAATTTCCTAGCACTTGCTATTCTACGTCGTAACTTCTGAACTGGAGGGGAAGTAATCAGCTTGGTTAAGTTTGAGTTTTAAGAACATGTCCCTTTCCAAAAAAAAAAAAAAAGTTATAGAACAAATCAGTATATTTATCTGATGGGCAGATGAGTGAGAGGATCATTTACATTGCAGCAAAGAAGGCTAATCGTATTATTTGGGCTGCATGAGTAGGGCTGTTTCCAGCAGGTCAAGGGAGGCGATCCTGCTTCCCCTCTGCTCAGCACTGATGAGGCCACACTTGGAATGCTGTGTCCAGTGCTGGGCTCCCCAGTGCAAGAGGGACATGGACATACTGGAGAGAGTCCAGCAATGGACTGTGAAGATGCTGAAGGGACTGGAGCATCTCTCCTATGAGGAAAGGCTGAAAGAGCTGGAACTGTTCAGCCTGGAGAACAGCAGGCTCGGGGGGGATCTCATCAAGTTATATAAATACTTGAAGTGAGGGTGCAAAGAAAACAGAGCCAGGCTGTGTCCATTGGTACCCAGTGACAGGACAGGAGGCAGTGAGCACACACTGAAACGCAGGAGGTTCCCTCTGAACATCAGGAAACTCTTTTGCACTGTGAGGGTGACCAAGCACTGGCACAGGTTGCCCAAGAGAAGTGGTGGAGTCTTCATCCTTGGAGATACTCAAAAGCCACCTGGGCATGGTCTTGGGCAACGAGTTCTACGTAGCCTTGCTTGAGCAAGGGATTTGGACCAGATGACATCAAGAGGTCCCTGCTAACCTCAACCATTCTGCGATTCTCTGATCTGTGTTTTCACTTAGAGTTTATTGAGGTGATCACCAGTAGTAATGGCATAGTCCATATATGACCGGTGTTTAATTCGAGCAAGCAAGCTTTCATTTTGATATAGAAGACTGGGAACTTGTGGAGACTTGTTTCATGGCTTCAGGAAACCAAAAAGCTTCTCACAAAGCACGTGAGAATGTTTCAGTGTGGAAAGCAACATGTAATATGAACTTTTAAATAATTATTGGCTTGCCCTTTAATTCAGAAAACTGGTAAGTCATAATAGTCTCTTTCATTTGACAATTTGATTTCTGTGATGTCTTTTTCCCTGATGATCTTTGGCAGTGGGTGTTAGACTGCTGGTTCTTTGGAGGTAGGGTCTCCATTTTTGCCTTTTACAGGGGTATATCTGTAAAAGTGATTGCACTATTTATCATAAATCATTATGAAAACAATGCTGCTGACGGGAAGATATTTTCATGTGACAAAACAGATTAATTGCCCTGCAAAATCTGAAAAAATGCAAATTTCTGAAACACCTTCTAATGAAGAATCAGATCCTGCAAACAAACTACGTCAGCAGACTTGGAAAGAAGGTACTGGTTAAAGCTGCAAAAACAGCCACTTAATTTTCATGAAAGGTGCCCTGACTTCTAGATAGTGATTAACTGATCACAGGGACTACATAGGAAAGAGGCTTGGGTCTAGGTTGGAAGGATTTACTCAAGCTGCAATTAAAATCAGTGCCTTCTAGGTGACCAGATACCTTTTGGTACCTGGGCTCTAGTTCTCAATAGACAATTCTGCAATGTGAATGATCCCTGTCTCATCATTATTCTCTTTTTAGGTACAAAGCAAGACAAATGAATAGTGAATGGGAATGGGAGAAGGGCTAGAATTGAGCATAAAGCTGTAGGTAGCAATTGTAGTTTGCTCCCATTGGGGTCGTGCACACTGTGGCATTAACGACAGGATCTCAGTATGTGGAGTTGTGTAGGACTTCTGTCTAGTTTATGGCGTAGGTTTGACATAAATTTAGTGGGGAACACTGAATAGGTATAATTGGAACTATATAGCATTTCCAGACTTCTGAGAGCTTAATTCTGTGGACCATTAACACTCCTAGTAAATGATTTTGTATATAGTCTCTGCTTTCTTCATGCTTACATATTGATGTGTATATTTAAACAGTAAAAGATACATTTTTTTAAATAAGTACCAAAATATTTACTTGGTGTTCTCCTTACTTCCAAATCCAAAAGTAACCACAGGTACTGATATGGGCTACAACAGTTGTTCTCTTCTTCTTTGAAACACAAAAAAAGAAAAAACTCTGAAAGAATTTTTTTTTTCTCTTTGGCTCCTGCTAGTTTATTATAGTGCTGTTAGTCGACTGGCTAGATTAGGGGTTTTTTAATACTTTCTGTTTGGTTTGCTGCTGATGTTTGCTAGGAAAAAAAGACTAAGAAGGTAACTACTTACTTAGATGACTCAGCTCAGTCAGGAAGATGCAGAAAATAGATTCATGAAAGAAATCCTGTAACAGCTGCCAACTTTATTGTTTGAATACATTGTGTCACATATACTGCTACAATTATTACAGTGGTGTTACACTCTGAAAAAACTTTTTGTGGGAGAATGTTTCAGTGTACCTGAAGAGGCAGAGCATGCTGAGACTCCTTTTTATACAACTGATGCCAGTGTGAATTTTCATTTTTTTCTTAAATTATTAATAGCTTCTTGATAATTAAACACTACTGGAAGACAGGGAAAAGTGATGATGCAAGTGGTAGGGGACTGTTTGTCACAGATGGAAATGATCGATTGTTCACTTATTTGAGTTGGGTTTTGCCTGCCTAGCATCAGTCATAGTCAGCATTGCCAGAAAACCTTGTGGTACTGTGAAGAAATGAAAATGAAGGAGCAAAAGCCACCTCACTGTCTGATTAACAGGGTGGCTTTTTCTGCATATTTGGAACATGCGGGAAATACATAGGTTTCTACATACGGGAAATACAAACTGTGGGGAAACCTTCAAAGTTGCAGTACATGCAGCTTTGAATCCAAAACAATGGTAAGGGCAAGGCAGGCATGGCAAAACTGCGCAACAGTGCAAAGGTTTGATCTGTGAGCACCACTGTTGTCCCGAACTTGATACACAAGCAGTTATGCATAAAAACATACATGCCCCTCTTCCAGGGAAACAATTCCCTTTTCTCCTCTCCTACCATCCACCATTTGGCACAGAAGCAGCAGGAGGGTCCAGTGGAAGTCCTGCAGGGGTCAGATGGTGTGTTGGGTTGACCTAGGCTGGATGCCCAGGTGCCCACCAAGCCCTGCTCTATCACTCCCCTCCTCAGCAGGACACAGTGGGGAGAAAATAAGATGGAAGAAAACCTTGTGGATCAAGAAAAAAGGCAGTTTAATGAGCCAAAGGCAAAGGCTGTGCACAGAAGCAAGGGAAAACAGTGATTTATTCTCTACTTTACATCAGCAGGCCATGTTCTGCCACTTCCTGGGAAGTCAGGATTCAGTATATGTAGTGGTTGCTCCGAAAAACAAACAATGTAATAACAAATGCCCCCCTTCCCCTTCCTTTCTCTTAGCTTTTATTGATGAGGAAAGCATCATGTGGTATGGAATATCCCTTTGTTCAGTTTGGGTTAGATGTTCTGGCTGCGCCCCCTCCCAAGATCTTTCCCACCCCCAGCCGACTGGTGGGGAGGGAACGTTGTAGAGACAGCCCTGGTGCTGCGTGAGCCCTGCTCAGCAGTAGCCAAAGCGCTGGTCGGTACCGACACTGTTCCAGCTACCAGTGCAAAGCACAGCACTGTGAGGGCTGCTGTGGGGAGAATTAACTCCTCCTCACCAGACACAGTAGCTGCTTGCACGTGGTTATCAGTCCAATGCTTTCAGGTGCTGCTTCTGATCTCCCCCGCCGGGATCATCTCTGTACTTTCCCTTTATGCTATGCTCGATCCTTCTGGGTTGTGCGCTTCTACTACGAGTAGTGTGGCTAGTTTCAAGGCAGGCACTTGGTGACTTCTTCCTGTTCTAATGTAAACAATCAGGCAATTGTATAACATTCAGTCATTCTGTGTTGTTAAGCAGGCTGGCTGTCCTTCTGATGGAGGGCACGCAAACTTCTGCACGTTTAAAAACTGTGAGATTGAAGAGCCTTTGAAGAGTAGCTGTTGAGTTCCTTATTTCTTGTTTCCTGCTGGCTCCATAAGGAGTCAGTCAGGGCTGTCAAGTCAAGACCCTGCAGAAGGGTCTTGAAACTCCTGCAGTGAGAGGAGCCTTAGGTAGGTACTGCCCTTTGCTCTCTGGCTGTTGGTCTCTGTGAGAGTAAGGCAAGGAAAGCGTCTGTGATTGTGTAACATTTGTTCTCTGCACAAGGAATACAGAGAAACGGTCTTAAGCAGTGGTGAAAATTAGGTGCTGGTGCCCTGTACCCTGTAAACAGGTGAGTGGGACAGATCAGGACAGCCAGCTCCTGACTTGAGTAGCAGGGCTACAGAAAAAAGGAAAGCCTAAAAGGCTGTATCAGCCATCACTTCATAGATGGCAAGAATCAGAGATTGGTTCAAATCAAACCTTCTTACCCTAAGCCTAGCAATTTACAGGCTCATCAGGTGGCCCCACATTGAATAGCTGTGGCCTTTGCAGAGTTGCAGCCATCCATGCAGAAGAGAAATTGATGTTCTCTTGAGTGCAAACAGATGTGGTCCATTGCTCAGAGCAGTCATACATCTTAATGTTTCTACTTATTCCCATGCAGGTTGTATGTGTGGTGCTAAACATAGTAGGAATTCTTTAGTGGGCCATGTAGTGATGTGGCCATTCTCTTCTAAGAAGGCAGGGTATCTGAAAGTTGGAGATTAATATTTGTACATATGTGATCTTTCCTTGGGGCTTTTCTAAGTAAAAAGGTCTGACTAACAGCATCTGAAATACTATAGCACAGGAAAGGAATTCTGACTTTTATCATTTCCTGCAATTCTAAATAATTCATTAGCAGACACTGAAAAAAAGTGTGTAAAATCAGATACATTCTGTTTGCAGTTCTTCAGTATACCGTAAAGGAAAAAATAATATTAATGTTTCAACCAATGTTAACAACTGTGTCCCATTTTGCTTATGTTTTTAGTTTGCTGATCTGTTTTCCTGGTTTATAATCTCATGCTTAAAGGTACCCTATTGATTCCTCCCCCTTTTTTTTCTTTCTTTTTCAAATCAACTCTAGCATGTAACTTATATTTAAAACCTTCCTTTAAATATTTGCTGATGATTTGGGTGGGGAACTGTTGTGAACAGTATTACCAGCAGAAATTTTGTATTTTAACTGTGGATGGAATTTGGCTGTTGCCTTACTTTTCCCCTATAAAGTATAATATGTGACACACTAGGAGGAAGAAGACAACGTCTCAAAAGAATTCTGTTTCATAGAGTTTTCGCTATCCAGCTGACTGAATTAGCTTGAGGCAGTGCATTTGAAAGTAAAGAGATAGTGGGTAACAATTCCAGTAGTTCTCAAAATGGCATGCTGGATGGTAATTCATGCACATTTGACAGTTTCCATGCAAGAAAACAGTTTCTCAATTAAAAGAAGTTAGGAAAAGGATTCTTCTACTTGCAATCTTCCAATGCATGTGTGTAATCTTTCTGAGAATATGTAGACATCCTGTTCCAGGATTTTTTCTGGTTCAATTCACACCTCTTTTGTTCAGAAAGCTGTTCCTATAAATTCCCATCCTTTCAATGTAGGAATGCAATGATATGAACAAGCTCTATTTTGACTAGTTTTGTGGTAATTCAGACTTGATCCCTCCCCTTCCTGAAAGCTTACTGTGTTCTTTTTTCCTAAGATGACTTGCCTGACTATGAAACTTAGCTGATTTTTGCAGTATAATGTGTCTATCTGTGTCATTTAGAAACAAATTAGCATTTCAGAATCTTGTTAAGAATAGATTTCCTATGATTAATTGACAGTGCTTTACTGGAATGATGGTTTTATACTCCTGAGCTCAATTCTGAAAGGTTTGTACAATGGGATTACAGGTAGTCATTAAGATCATACTGATATTTTGATTCCTTTGAAGGAATGCTATGGTTTTGGATTTGTGTCAATTTCTTGCCTTCTCTTCTGTTTTTTCCCTGTTTTTATCTCTGAGCATGTTTTCTGCTTTTCTAGGACAACTAAAAGACACTGTACTTTATACGAAGGACTACACTCCGCTGTTGCAGGAGTATGTCATATTCCAATGGCAGAGCCATTCTGCACCAAAACCAGAGAGGTTAGTGAATTCTGTAATAGTATTTAGAAATGTTATTTATTTTCATGGCATTTGTAAATGATATAGTAGTCTAATTGTGCATTTTTAGAATACAGAGGCACTCTACACCTATTTATTCCTGTTTCTCAGGTATGTCATGGTTTCAGGGAAAAGTGTGACATTGGGAAGGTATGGGAAGTAAAAGGTCTTGTGTCTGTAGGAGCTGTCTTCTGAAGGGAATTATGCAGAAGATGTCAGTTAGCAACCTAGATTCCCCCAGCATAACAGTACAAAAGATCTTAATTTATCAGGTGATAAGCCAAGAAAGCAATAAAGTGGACAAAGCAGGAAGATAGAATTAGTAATTAGTTCCTTTTTGTTCCAAATAAAACTGCAACTATAGTAGAGGCACTCTACATACTTAATACAAATAATTAAATAAATAGTACTTTAGCATTCAGAGAAAATAAAATACTGGTTTCGTGCGTTGTAGCAGGGGGTGGTGGTAGAACGTCAAGGCTTAGTTTAAAGGATATAAACATAGAAACAAGCCAATTTACAGTAGGCTTATATTCTTAAATGTTGTTCTTAGTTTTGTCACTTCAAGGTATTCAGGCTTCAAAACCACTTACACTGAGCAGTGTGAAACACTGCTCTGTTTTTCAACACCTTTATAATCTTCTGGGAGTGTACCTGTGATTAAGTATGCCACCTCAGCGTATCGTTAGACCTGAGGAAAAGGGAAGGCGAAGACTGAACTGCCTATTTTGTGGTGTTGTGGAATGCTCTGATGGGGGAGCTATGTTCTGCAGGGCTACAGGAACACCTGCAGAGTCAGTGGTATCCATCCAAGAGGCTTGTTCTCTGCGGAGTCAATTACTACACTGAGCAGCACAAAGTTGAATTGGGAAGCAGGTGGCCCAGACTGTACCCAGAGCATGTATAAATATTTGTACTGCTGAGCTATTCTGCCCTTGTCACTGATTCACTTCAGTGTCATTATAGGGTATTTTTATTAATTGGCCAGGCATGGTGTGGTTTTGAGATATCAACCAGCAGGTCCACAGCACTGTTAGTAGAATGATGCTTCAGTGCATTAGGAATTGAGGTGGTTTGCAATTTTAGATCTCATGAGGAAACAAACCACTATATATTATAAGTTTGCATACTTTTGTCCTTCCATTGAACAGCAAATTATGCAAAATACTTCATGCAACCAGAGCTCTTATCAAAGATTTATTGCCATGTCGTTGCTTACTGACTTTGAGCATGAGGACAACAGATAAAAGGAATATAAAAAGTTCACTTTCTGAAATGGATTAAAACCAGTGTTATTGAAACGTTTGGTAGCACTTCAGACTGTGTCTCTTTCTCAGTTTTTTTTTAAAAAGGTAAGTAGATATGCATAAGCCATTTTCTGAGATTGCACAAAGCATATGCTAAGGCTAGTTTTCATTCAATTGTTAAGTAGCTAGAGACAATGTTCTTTGAATATTATATTCTTTGAAAAGCCAACAGAGAAATGCTCCTTCTGAAACAGAGAAAAAACATTTAGGTACTTCCCAGTCTTACGTGATCATTATCTCATTAGCCTATGTGTTCTAATCATCCTAGCAATTGTTTTAAAGACCATGTGCGTTTGAGCTCTTAGCGAGGCTGAAAAGGGATACTTTCACTTCATTTGAAAATAACAGATAAAAGTGACCTAAACTTTTTTCCTGGAACTATCCCTGAAAATTGTTGTGGTCATTTCAGCCCAGTTTATCCTAATTCAGGGTAAATTCATACATAAATGCAATAATAATAAAGCCAAAACTATTAATGTAGTAGACGAATTAAGGAATTTTGCATGAAACTTTATATTATGTATGTGCAAATGTGTGAAAATACTCTGGTTTATTTGGTTTACGCACTGTAAATTAAATGAGAATTTTAAAGAAGTTCATATTTTCTCTGACTGCAAACTTTCAAATAAGACAGGGTGCCTTGGATATTACTGCCTTCAGAAAATGGGGTTTACTGCAACATCTTAGAGAGTAAAGTTGGAACTTTGTAAAAAGTTCCAGGGAAATACTACTCAACTGTGGCTTAAGTCAAATCACAACCGAAGTTGTCTATTGATTTATTAGCAACATGTCATTAACTGGCGATCAGTGAATCATATATACAGAATTAATATCAGCAGTAAACCACAATATTAGGTGTGGTTAATATTACATTAACTTACACCATGTTAATAAACACCTACAAATTTGTAGGTGTCCTTCTGTGGCTAATTCCCAGAATCTCTGATTTACCCTTACACACGTATTCACATAGTCGCACACACAAATACCCTTCCCCAGCACACGTGGGTTACATGCACACCTACCCTCTTCTGCACCTGCAGGTTTACCTGCTTACATGCATCTGCAGTGGGAGATGTGGGTGCTCCAGCTGTGTGTGTGCTTGAGCCACTCCTCGCAGTCCACTGATCCCACGTGGGCACCCCACAGGTCTCAGAGCACCCTCAAGGTATCGCTGCTGGTTGCATTTGTGTATGGCAGGTCCATCAACCAGCAGGAGGGCAGGCTTCCCGCGACATCTTGCAGAAAGGCTGCTCCACCTGGCCTGTGTGAAGGTCGTGATGCTGACAAGGCAGCTTCTGGTGGTGTCAGACTAAGTTTTCACTGCTGCTGTGTTATGGTCTCTCCTGTCTTGTCACAATTCTTCATGCTGCTTTTATACTTCTTTTCAAGCTTTTCTGTTGATGGTCATTTTAAACAGATATAATCATAGTTACTTTCCCCTTCCTACTCAGGGTAGTTATGGCTGTCCTAGTCCTATTTACACATGCTGGTACACTCTTACTCCTACTGTATCAACTGGTGTTGGCCAGACCGTTTACCGAGAGTCATGATGGTTCTGCCATATACAAGATCCTAGTTGGGGCTGTAAAATGTAATGTGAAGTACGGGGTATACGCAAAGTGTATGGCTCAGTCACTGGCATGGGAAAATGTGATAGTAATTTCTCTGTAGATTCCCAGGGTACTCTTTAAAGTATATGCTTGTAAAGTTTTGCTTTCAGAAAGTGAATTTCCTATTACTGTTCTTACCAGCATAACTCCACCATGTGGTAATATAGTGCCCAATGAAGCATTTTCACCATTCTGTTCTCAATGTAAGCACAGCCTAAATATTGTTCCAGTTTCTTGATCTGCATTGAAAACAGTAATACAACTGATACTAACAAAATCAGGTGAGTTCAGGATAAGTCCTGTTAGTAGGACTATTAATTTCTCTTGCTGAGTAAGGAAACGGAAGCTGATCTGTGGTTTTGGACAGCTGAAGCCATATGGAGCTTGACTGCTTTGTATAAAATTAATTTCTTTTGTATGTAATTTTTTTTATGGGATGTAAAAGCAGTGCACTAGGGGAATGATATCTTTTTTCTTGATATTTGTGTGTTTTGCAGGTTCTTATTGAGACTGCCAAGAAGCTTGGGCTGCAGTGTCATTCCAAGGGGACAATGATCACAATTGAAGGCCCACGTTTCAGTTCTCGAGCAGAAAGCTTGATGTTTCGCAGCTGGGGAGCTGATGTTATCAACATGACCACAGTGCCTGAAGTGGTTCTGGCAAAAGAAGCTGGAATGAGTTATGCTAGTATTGCTATGGCAACAGATTATGACTGCTGGAAGGAACATGAAGAAGCAGTGAGTGAAACTTTTTTTCTCTGAGTCTTGTCCTGAGGGATCTGGGTGAGAACCTATAGGTTTTGATAAGAGATCAGATACTGAACTAAATCTAGTCTGTCTTACATCAGTATCAGTGAGCTAGTCTGGATGAATGATTGTGGAAGTAAGAACAGAATCAATTGTTGCTACCTCATTGATTTTTATAAACTTGCTTCACTACTAGCAAACATTTTGTCTCCTCTTCTCTGAAACAGAAGGCCTCATGTACAAAGCTCATCAGCTCTGTGTATGAGCTTCTCTTCCCATAACTGGTCTGGTGTTTTTTCTTTTGTAGCTTGGTTGAAAATTATGTATCTGCTTTGGCTCTCATATTTGTGTAAAATATAATCAGACATACACTCACAGAAGAAAGGTTTTATTGGCTAAAATGACTGTGGCATTTTAAGACTTCATCTTTTCACATAGAGATGTAAAAGTTAAATGAATTTATTTGAGTATTTAAAATGCATGCCATCCAAATTGAGAGACACCACTCAGTTTTCTTGTGTTTCTAGGTTTCAGTGGATCAAGTTTTAAGGACGCTGAAAATGAATGCAGATAAGGCTACTAGCTTACTCCTTACTGCTATACCTCAGATAGGTTCCATGGAATGGACCGACACCCTGCACACCTTGAGAGTAAGTACACACGTGAGGCCAGTGAGTACTGGGGACAGTGTACACATACATACACATAACTTCTTAGAGTAGATCCTTCAACAAACCGAATCTGTTCAAGATGGGCAAACAAATTCATTAAGACTAACAAGCTTCAGTTTTACAAGAAGCGTTACAAAAGGTAAAAAAATTAAGGACATCTGTATATGGTTGGTGAAGTGTTATCCTTCATAACACAGGTAAGATACAAATCTGCATGAGTATCCAAATGAAAAATCTACTCTTTAATATGTAGAAGAAGAGAAGTCCGTTACAAGGTAAGGGTAATAACCCAATTGAAATTACTAGAATTGTGTTGTCCCACAGGTTTAAGATCCACAGTGCATGAAAAAACAAACGTGGAAAAGAAAAGCATTCCAAAATATATTGCTGAGGGATTTTTCTTACATGCAAGTTTATTTGCTTGTTTTACATCACCTCTATTTCACAGGTATGCTTGATTCATTTCTGGCTGGAGCGCAGAGGGAAAGAACAAATATAGTTTGAATGTCTATCCAACTTCTCAACAAGTTTTTTATGACAAATAGGCATTTCCAAGAGTACAGGAGCATGAAGTGCGAGAGGTGGGGATCACATTAAGATAGTGTGGGAGACAGGAAAAGAGAATTGGAGTGTGAAAAACAAAAAGCAAACAGAAACAAGGATTTCTGTTCGTGGAAGCAGCAGCAGTCTGAAAAGGAGGAAGCCTATTGAGGAAACTTTTGAGAGTCCAGTCTCTGATACCTCTCTTCAGTTCTTTCTTTATTTTTTCTGAAAATCACTGTGTTGACTAAAATTTGAATGTGTAAGAAAAATGAACACAGACTTAAGTCATGTCTTCATGTACCTGAAGTTGTGTCCCTGAAATTGAACTACCAACAGAACTGTATATACTTTAAAAATCTTTTATGTCTTCTGATTTGGATCAAATTTTCAGTTTTGTTTACAATATGTTGTCTTGTCAGTGACTCTTAACTCTCATTTAGTCAGTATCCTGAAGGAAAGCAAAATTCACCCAGACACTCCTAAGCATACTTGACCAGGTCAGGTTTTGGAGGTCCAACCCAAATATTTGAAGTGAGTCTTCTGCTGATTCTTCTCTAGAAAACCTACCTTTTATTAGGGGGTCTTGGATTCCTCAGTCAGTTCTCTGAAACAGTTATTTTAATGTCCCCTTTATAAATTTTTGAGAGGTAACTGACTTGTCCCTTTCCCCTTAGCAGTCTTTAGGAAGTTGTGTCATGGATGGGTAAGGGAGACGACAGAATCAGTATTTCTTTTCCCCTCTAATACACCAAAAACATTTTCAGAGGACTGGGCCACACTTTTCATTTCACAGAATCATGGAATAGTCAGAGTTGGAAGGGACCTCTAGAGATCATCTGGTCCAACTCCCCTGCTAAAGCAGGATTGCCCAGAGCACATCACTCAGGACTGCATCCAGGCGGATCTTGAGAATCTCCAGAGAAGGGGACTCCACAGCCTCCCTGAGCACCCTGTTCCAGGGCCCTGGCACCCTCAACATACAGAAGTTTTTTCATTTGATACAGGTGCCTGGCTATACCAAAAAAAAAAAAACAAAAACCCACCCAAAACCCAGAGTTTGAACAAATAATCCAAAAAAAAAAAAAAAAAAAGGGCTAGGTATTCCCAAGTATGTAACGCTCTTTAGGTACTGAGGAGTCTACCACCAGTTCTGGCAGGTGTCCTTCAGTAAGCAGTGTCCTGCTGCTTTCCCTGGCATGATTGTCTTGATTCTCCATCAGGAGTGAAAAAGCAGGTGACTGGAAAGAGCTGACACAAAGTTTGCAGGGTTCCTCTTTAATGAACACTAACCCTTCTTTCCCTTAAGCATCTGCTACTGCCTGGTATCAGTGATGAATATTGAGATAGTTTCACTTCAGCTTGGCAATTCTTATGTGTTTGTGCTCTTTGCTGATAGGAGCTGATTTGAGTGATAGTATACTGGGAAAGGGAGTTAATCTGAAGGCATTAGAAGAACTGGAAACAGGAACAAGGTATTGGCAGCGGGACTTGAGATTTTATGTCAGGAGAGTAGTAGTCACAATTGTTTCTGATTTAACACAACCAAGTACTCACAATCAAGTGACAGGAAAGTCTGAGGTTTTGGAGGGTTCCTCTGATTTTACTTCAGAAGGGCAGAAAAGGCTAAAAATCTTTCTGTTTGAAGCATTAAATGGTGGTAAAGTATATGAAAGATTGGTCCTAGGCTTCTGTGTTGGTGAATAAGGAGAGAGGCAATTATGCCATACAGCAGAGAAATAAATATGTGCTTCTGTACTAGTGTGTGGTTGAACCATAAAGATTTCTAAGACTGTTCTCTTTGTACATGTGAAGTGTTCTTCTGTATATTTTAATCTGGGAATTTTGAAGGTCAGATGATGGGGGTTTTTGAACTGATCTTTTCTGGAGGCACCTTTTCCCAGAGCTGAAAGGCAGCAGCTCTTGCATGCCCTGTGGTAATGTGGTGAGGAACGCAGACGAGAAGGGAGCTGAGCAAGGCTGCAGCTGAAACTCTGCAACCAGGGACGATGTAAAGCCGTGCCAGCCTGCATCCAAGCCGCTGCTGGGCATCGCAAATGGGCATTTCCAGTGTCTGGTGTTTGGGGAAGAATGTGGAACCATAAAGCTCTACAAGGACACAACTTTTCCTTTCTGAGCTCTGTTATCTGGCTGCCATGACTGGAGGAGCTTCACCAGGCAGGAGAAAGTACGCTGCCAGTCTGTTTGCCCAGCTGCATTTGTCTGTCTCCTCCCATGGAGGTATGCATCCCACCCACACATACGCGGTAGTGTCATCTCTGAATTTCACAGTAGTCTTCAGGAAACCCTGGACTGTTGAAGCAAAAATGTTGAAGGGCTGGTTTTCTGCTAAAGGATAGGCTGCCTGCCATCTCTTCTTTTTCATGTGTCTTTTCATCTGAGATATGCCAGTGAGTTTAGGTGTAGTTTGAATGTTACTGGTTTTTAGGCTGGTATGACCGAGCTCTGTTGCTGTAAAAAGAGGTAATTCTCCAGGCTCAGGTTACATGAACTCGAAAAAAAAAAAGTTTGGAGCAAGCTTTTCTGCATCTTCCTTCTTGTCATTTTGAGGCGTGGTCGGGGTACAAAGCCTTTACTCTTTCAGAACAGGGTATAACCACATTTTATTTATGTCATAGATCAGAAAACAGAGATGGTGCTATTGATCACAGTGGTCCAAGTGATTTCTGGCTGGTGTCAGGAAAATTTCAGGATAGAATGAGACAACCATGGATGAGGTAGAGCTGGATCTCCCGTTCACGGACAAGAGTTGTTTAATGAGGTGATAATCACTGTCAGTTGTTGCTGTAATGCTCAGGAAATAGCGATGTTCAGCATCTTCTGGGGAACAAGGAAGGCAAGTAGCAGAGTACAGATGCTGGAGTACAGATGCTGGAGTTCAGGTGAGCATACTTGGGTTTAACCAGTGAAGTAGTAGGTATCATCTCATGGGAGGCAGATCTGAAGGGGCAAGGAGCTCCAGAAAGCAGGAGGGACTTTAAGGACAGCATTCTCCAAGCACAAGTGATCCACAGAAAAACCAGTCAGGCGTCTCACTTGACTGAACAGGCTCTAGTGCAAAAATGCAGCATTCAAGGACTGGAAGCAGGGACAAGCTACAAATAAGGAATCCAGAACCAAGAGCAGGCATGTAGGGATGGTTTCAAATTTGGCTATAATTGACAGTAGGACGTCACAAGCAACAAGAACTTCAGCCACTGCATTGGTATCAAAGGTTGATCGAGTAAAACATGGGCTCATTGCTGAATGAAGTAAATGAATCGGTGACAGCAATTTCAAAGGGGAACGAATATAGTAGGTATTTTTTTGTCTTTGTTAGGGAAAGTATTGGCAAGAGAGGAAAAACTGTCTTCTTGAAAAGAATTTTAACTCATAACAACTGGGAACTGAGCTCTGTATCTTTATTATGGTAAAGTTTGATAACAGGAGGATCAGGAGACAACCTGTACTGGGATGATAAAAGGAATGTCACATAAGAATTGATTTTTCTTAAAGCATGGGTGTAAGACAGCCTGTGGTAAGGTGTTAGAGCTTCTGTAAATGCTTCTCAGATAAACTTCTGGACTCTGTTATTAACTGCCAATAAGTCAAATCCGTGAACGTACTTGCGTGACTAGAGTGAATTGGCTCAGGTGAGTAAGGTGAAGGGGGAAAATTCATCAAGACTTCACATCGTCTGTAGTGGCAGTGGTCTTCATATTGTCCTTGCAGGCTGAGGACCTCTTAAGAAAACTGAGATTGAAGTGTTTCTCAGGCCCTACTCTTGAATGTGGTTGATGTCAAAGTTGCGTGTCCCTCCATAACATGAGTATCAGCCAGTGCACCTTTAGAGAAAGGTTTCTATCCTTGACAGCGATTCTTCAGAATTGATGAAGAAACATGTAGAAATCACTTTTATTTAAGGAACTTCATTTTCAGAGCGTTATGATTATATTTGTGAAAACCTTGCTATCAATGTGGTGCATGTAAACCAGTGTGCTAGCCTTAAAAATAAAAAGCAAGCTGCACAATTTTTCATTTGTAAGTTGTAAGCCTAAAAGTCTGTAATTTAGTGTTTCTGCAGTATGATTGTGTGGTGGGTTGACCTTGGCTAGATGCCAGGTGCCCGCCAAAGCCACTGTATCGCTGCCTCTCCTCAGCTGGACAGGGGGAGAAAAATTAAGACAAAAGGCTTGTGGGTGAAGATAAGGACAGGGAGATCCTCAGCAATTACTGTCATGGGAAAACTAATTTGGCTCAGGGAAATTAATTCAATTTATTGCAAAGCAAGTCAGAGTAAGATAATGAGGAAACCAAATCTTTAAAACCGCTTTCCCCCACCCCTCCCTTTTTCTGTGGCTCAGCTTCACTCCTTAGTTCTCTGCTTCCTCCCCCCAAGTGGCACAGGGGGCTGGGAGTTGGGGTTGCAGTCAGTTAATCACATATTGTCTCTGCCACTCCTTCCTCCTTATTGTCTTTCCCTGCTCCAGTGTGGGCTTCCTCTCATGGGAGGCAGAGTCCTCCGTGAACTTCTCAAAAGTGAGTTCTTTCCACGGGCTACAGTTCTTCATTAACTGCTCCAACATGGGTCCTTCCACAGGGCCACAGCTTCTGCCAGGAGCCTGCTCCAGCACAGGCTTTCCACGGGATCACAACCTTCTTCAGAGCATCCACCTGCTCCAGCATGGAGGCCTCCACAGGTTGCAGGTGGACATCTGCTCCACCATGGACCTCCAGGGGCTGCAGGTCCACGGGATCACAACCTTCTTCAGAGCATCCACCTGCTCCAGCATGGAGGCCTCCACAGGTTGCAGGTGGACATCTGCTCCACCATGGACCTCCAGGGGCTGCAGGGGGACAGCCTGACTCACCATAATCTTCACCACAGGCTGCAGGGGAATCTCTGCTCCAGCACCTGGAGCACCTTCTCCCCCTCCTTCATTGACCTTGGTGTCTGCAGAGTTGTTACTCTCACATAGTCTCACTCCTCTCTCCGGCTGCAGTTGCTGTTGCATAGATTTTTTTTTCCACCTTCTTAAATATGTTCTCACAGAGACACTACCACCGTCACTGATGGGCTTGGCCTTTGCCAGCAGTGGGTCTGTCTTGGAGCTGGCTGGCGACAGCTCTACCAGACATTGGGGAAGCTCCTAGAAGCTTCTCACAGAGGCCACCCCTGTAGGCCCCCCGCTACCAAAACCTTGCTACACAAACCCAATACAGACCGTTGTTTTCAATACCAGCAAGTCTGTTACATAGTTTTAAAAAGTTGTAATGAGAAGTTTTTGAACTGTTGAAGGGTATGCCCTCCCAGTAATTCTTCGAACACTTGTGGTGTTGGACAAAGTTGGATAGTGTGCACATGGAAAGAGTTACACCTGTTTGTAATCCAAATAGAAGCTGTGTCATCTGCCTTTACGTTGAAAAGTAATTCTGCTCTGCATTGGCAGAGGAAGCATTCATCTACTTTGGCTTTTTATTTCAGACAACAGTGCAGTGTTCAGTCATCCTGCCAAAGCAGTAACCACCTGGAGGGGCCTTGAAGTTTGGGTGTTACAAGGAAGAGAGGATCATTTTCGAACTTCCAGAGATTATAACATCTTCAAAAATTGTTGCAAGCATAAAAGAATGGAGTAAGCATTGACCAATGATAACATATAAGGCAGCTTTTTATAATCTTTATCATTCTTGATAGTGTGTAGGATGACTAAAATTAGATTTTGAGTATGTTTTAAATTTGGAGTAGCTTTACTGTCAAGCTGGGTCAGACAGTGGCCGAGGAAGAAGGTCAGTAGTGAGTTGTCATCGTCTATTCAGTGATACCGTTTAGGTGATGAAAGAAAGGAAAGGCTAGGTAATACTCTGTTGCGGTTTGATAAAATAAGATCTAAGAAGGCAGATTAACAAGTATGCTATTTGCTTTGCTGTTTCTGCCTCTCATCTTTTGAAGGCAAATGGTTACATTTCACCTCAGATAATTTCAAAATAAAGTTATACTATTTTTATACGTTATCCATATTTTTTATTTCAGTGGGGATATTTAAAAAAAAAAGTGGTTTTTGTTTACATGCTAGAAGACATGGTTTAGTAATTGTTGCTTCTTTCATAGCAGGAGTTGTGTAATGATTTAATGTTCTTATTTTTTTAAATCTACATAATGCCTAGGCCAAATTTGTGCCTGAAAATGTACGTACGTGACTTACAGAACTGTACAGAAAAGTCCCATGTTCAGAACACTGCCAGTGTTCTGAACACTGTGCTGGCCTTTTGTCGCTTTGTTGGTCTGAAAAACTCTGGGTTTAGTTGGTGTTTTAAGTGATGATCATGCTTGAGTGCTCTGAATGTATACATTTCTTTTTTTAATACAGTTTGACTTCAATAAAATAATCTGCTGTTTCTTGTCTAGTAAATAAAATTAATGAAAGCTATGCTTCTCCAAACTGTGTGAAATTGTGGGGGTTTTATTTACTTCTAGCCATTAGTGAGTAAATTTTGTTTGTCTGACAATGACTTTTGCCATTCACGGAACAGGCTGGTGGTGATACCTCGCAAACACTACTTTTAGAAAATATTGTGCTGCTTAGAACTGCAGGTTCTAAGTCCCTGAAAAAACAGGGATTGCTGAGACAGAAGTAAATCAGAATGCTGTCCGAGCCAAGCAAGGAAAAGATAAGAAACATGAAAGCTATGCATTCACACAGTGATGTAAAAGAAAAAGTAAAACAAAAATCCAAAGGACAATAAAAAGAAAGCAGGTGCATAAGATTTTTAGCTTGCTAGTCTTGCTCTGTTAGACAACCTGCTGTGAAAGCCTTAAGATTTGGACGTATCTTCCCTAGCAAAACCAGTACAGGTGCTTTTCAGATACTGGGGAAAATAGTTTAACCAACTTTCCACATTTTGAGTGTTTTTTTAAATAGCTTAGATTGCAGGAACAAGAGCCTGAGGCTTGACAAGAGGTGGCTACAGATCCAACATGTCTTTTATTACCTCTAATATCTAGCCAAATCAGATGGCTGACCTTAAAAATGGTTTTCATTGTTGTTACCTTTGCCCCCCAAGACAGTTTTAGTGAAATGGATTGAAGCCATGAAGTTCATATTTGGATGTTCTAAGAGAAAGTTGTATCTGGGTTTCCATTTTCAATCCCCCTTGGTTTTTGTTTTGTTTTGTTTTTTCACGTTCCTTAGTGAATTGCAAAAATAATTGTTGTGTTAATTTTCTTTTTTTATATACTGAGTATTTATTCAGTATATATGTCACAGGGCAGTATGCCACAGAGCAGGTCCACAGTTAGTGTTTTTTCTTATACGTTGCTGTTAAAATTCTTCATCCTAGTACACAAGGCTAGATGATAACACTAGGTAGGGATAGCGAATTGGCTTGGATGTCCTCGTCCAAAGAGTTACAGTCAGTAGCTCAATGTACAAATGGAAACCAGTAGCAAGTGGTGTCCCTCAAGGGCCTATATGGGGACCAATACCTATGTAATATCATCATCAATAATACAAGGTAATGGGATTGAGTTTGCAGGTGACACCAAGTTGAGTGGTGTGGTTGGCACACCTGAGGGACAACATGCCATCCAAAGGGACCTGGACAAGCTTGAGAAGTGGGCCAATGTGAACCTTGTGATGTTCAACAAGGCCGAGTGCAACGTCCTGCACCTGGGTCAGGGCAACCCCAGGGCATCAAGATAGTCTGGGGGATGAAGGGATGGAGAGCAGCCCTGAGGGAAAGGACTTGTGGGTGTTGGTTTTGATGAGCAGGTCAAAGGAGGTGATTCTGCCCCTCTGCTCTGGTGAGACCCCTTCTGGAGTACCTGGAGCACTTTGAAACCCTCAGCACAGGAAGGACATGGATCTCTTAGGGAGGGTCTAGAGGAGGGCCACAACGATGGTCAAAGGGCTGGAGCACCTCTCTTGCAAGGACAGGCTGAGAGAGTTGGGGTGGTTGTTCTGGAGTCTGAAGAAGAGGCGGCTTTGGGCCTTATTGTGGCCTTTCAGTAAGGGGGCTTATGGGTTTAAAGGGGGCTTATGAGAAAGATGGAGGGAGACTTTTCACTAGGGCCTGTAGTGACAGGCTAAGGGGCAACAGTTTTAAAGAGAAAGATGGTAGATGCAGGTTGGACCTGAGATTTTTTTTACTGTGAGGCAGGTGAGACACTGGCACAGGTTGCCCAGAGGGTTTGTGGATGCCCCATTCTCTGGAAGTGTTAAAAGTCAGGTTGGACAGGGCTTTGATCAACCTGATGTAGTGCCAACTGGCCCTGTCGTCCATGGCAGAGGGTGGGGGTTGGACTATGTGAGCTTTGAAGGTCCCTTCCAGCCCAAACCTTTCAATGATACCTATTTGCTCTGTCAACACAGGCTTGGTTTCGGAAGGTGCCTTGTGTAGCATTAACATAAAGTCAGTAATACTTTAAACTCTCATTTCTACACTGACTATTTCAACACAGGTACTTAAATAGGGAGACCTGAAGCAAATGAAGCATCTTCTCTGTGAGCAAATGGCATGTCTTGTGTAGGATCAGTTAGAACCATGGAAAGCCTTGTAAAGTATTAGCTAATGGAATTTAACCTTATGTTTTTCCAGCCTGGTTCTCATTCTCCAGTGGAATTCTCCTAAACTCACTGGCTGATTTGTGTGGCTTTCAAGGCTTTTGGGGGAAAGAGATCACCCCTAGAGCTAAAGAACAGGCCAGTCTCTTCGTGTTCCTGTGCAGCCTTGGTGGAATAGAGAAATGCAGCTGGGAAACAGGGGGTATGTTAGAAATAAATGCTGAAAGCCTCATTTTCTTCCCTGTGTATGCAGAGGGTGACTGTGAACAGCACAGAGGCACGAAGCAGGAGGCGTGCCAGTATTATCCAAGGACTGGGAAACAGGGAATCAGTAGCCAGTCAATTCCTGGTAAAATATTCTGCTGGGCTCCAGAGGAAATGGCGCAGCCTGCGACTGCATGAAATGCCCAGATCCACGCAGACCGCAAGCAGAAGTGCTGCTGCAGAGTAAGTTCAGCATGCAAATAACAAATGCAAGAGGAAGACTTACGCCCACTCGCAGGAGCTTTTGTCCAGCTGTCCCTGCGGTGGCATTCGTTAGGAGTTCTGCTTCATCTCGGCGCGCGTGGCTCGGGCGGCACATCTCCTTCCGCTTTGACTGAAGAGACTTGTGGACCTGGGCTTGGCAGCATCCAGACCCAAACGCCCCTGGTCTATATTCCAAGCCTTCAGCCCACACTTAATGTATCATGAGCATTTGCTCTCTCTGACTGTGGAGATGCAGTTGGGTCTCCTGCCCTGCCTCTCACTGACTGATTGGATGTTTTATTTTGCTTACCCCAGCTATCCAAGTCCTTTTCTCTCTGAGACCTCCATTCATTTTGCTCAGAGTGTCCTCCAGCGTGTGTGTGTGTTAGCGGAGTAACATACTGGTGCCAAGGCAATATCGCAGGTTCAACCAAGGCACCAACTAGACCGTGAGGCAGATTTACCCTTTTTCTCCCTCTTCTGTTTCCTCTAAATCACTCTGTGCAGCATAGCACTGATCTGTCGCATCTTGCTAACGTGACACTGCCCACTCATATCTCATTCTCACTGAGCTAACGCTTCACGCCGTTTCACATCAGCATCATCCAACGCATCGCTCAGCACAGGTGGCATGTGACATCAGAATTTAGTTGTTATATTAGTAGTCAAAACACAGCCGAGAGCAGTTGGGGTTCCCGGAACTGTAACCAGTAAGTGAGTATCTTGTTTATCGAAACCAGCTGAGTATCAGTAAGGGGAGAAATTAATTCAGGAGGTGCTCAGCACTGGGCGGGATCTGCCCTCTAAGACGGAAACTCTGGCTTAACTGTTTTAACGACTGCTTCCTCTCCCCACTGTCATTGCAGTACTGACTGAAGCAGGACAGTGCAAGAGAATTGGAATTAACATTTAGTCGCTCTTTTGCAAAAGTTTGCAATTGTTTACTTAGATAATCGTCAAGTTCTCCACCACCTTTGCGATTAATTGGCTTTGGCAATTTGTGGGGCAAAACCATGCGTGACTGGATGTGTTTGGAAATATATTTTATTCCTGGACATCAGGAGGAGGCCCAGCTCTGTGGATTTAGGAGATTACAAAGATTCCCATCGAGAATTATTCACAGGTATTGGTGAGATTTTTCACCTCCCTACACTGCGTCTGGTGTGCTGGTGGGGCTGCTCTTCCCCCTCTCTCCTCCCTGCTGCTTGAAATTATTCTGACTCCAATGCGTGCCAAACTCCTCTTTAGGTTTCATCAGTTCACAGAACCAGGGGGAGAAAAAAAGAAAAAAAGAAGAAAAAACAAAAAAAAGAAGTAGTCCCTTCCCCAAAACGGAACAGCTTCCACCATATTAGCAGTTAAAGCAGGTCATGAAGGAGTGCACTGTGGCATCAGCACAGTGGGGCTGCACGGCCGGCCGAGGGGCAGGAGGAAAGGGCTTTTCCTTACA